TAGACGGTTATCGTTCTCGTGCCTGTTGGAGAATGATGAATCCAACGGTTAGAAATGAAGGAGGTTAGTGTAGGGTGCGAAGTAGAGGATTATTCGAGTTTGACTTACTTGACGAAGAGACGGAGTGTGGTGATATCTGAGCCGTAGATTTTGTTTTTTTGCTTGACTTGGAGATAGCCGATGAAACCACCGTCTGGAGATTCTTCGATGGAGATTAGACGGTAGCCTTTGCCGATGGAGTTGGTGGAGGAGTGTGCGGTTGAGAGACAGAAGAGGAAAGCAAGAAGAAGAAGAAGAGGAAGAGAAGTAGCTAGAGATGGTGTTTTTGAAGTGGCCATGGTTTTGATACTCTCTACACTCTACAGTGTACAGTGTAGTGTTTGTTGAGCAATGAAGGCGAGAAGGAGGGATTTATTTAAAGAGCCTATTTTTTTTAAGTTTAGCTTCTTTGATATGTGTGTGAACACTTCACGAGGAAATAAATAGTTGAAAGTGTCGTTTTTATTTTTGTATCAATACAAAAAGCCAAAAAAAAAACTGATATTTTAGCTGATTATCGCCTAAATCAATTAAATTGCTATGATGAAAATCATGTGATTCATCATTGGTTTAAAATTATAGTATCATTCAGAGAGATGATATACATAATATTTATAGAGAGATAAGTGTGACGCTATTAAGAAACTAACTAATTCTGCTATTTTACCTTTGTATAATAGCGTCACACTTGCATCTAATGGAATTTAATTTGTTGTAAGAATAACAAATATATATAAATAGATGCATGAAGTGAATATATATAGATGCAATAACTTCATTTATGCTTTGATTCGTCCTTGCAACGTCTTGGCTCCATACTCTTTACAACGACAATAATTTTTTTTCCAGTTTCTAATGAACTTTTTTTTATTGTGCTAGCAACTTACATGTTTCAAGTTCTCTGTTTAAACACTCTATCTGGAACACCTTTTACTAACACGTTTTTTTGTGTGCCTAAAACCATAAAATTAGTCTTTTTCAGTAAAATTCCATCAACTCAGATTCTAAAGAATACAACTATTTTAACCAAAAAAGAAAAAAGATTTACTGCTCCTCTGTTCTCCAACGATGAATTCATTACTGGTACAAAAGAACAATTAAACCACCAAGTCAATTTGATTAATGGTTTGCTAAATAAGGATTCTATTTATTAATTTTTCCTCACATAATTCAACATACTAAATTTGTAAAGTATTAGTGCTGAATAAAAAGTTCATTGATCTAAACTTTGTTCATTACTCCCTCTGTCCCATTTTATAAGTTTTTTTAGGCTTGAGCACAATTATTAAGAAAATATTACTTTATGTCTTTTAAAATACTTAATTAAAGATATAAATAAATATAAAATCTTTTAGACCAATCTCTACCTTTCTCTTTCTTGTTTTTGCATTTTTATTTATTTTTTCTTTTCTTTTTTTCTGCATTGAAATCTGGAAAGCTTATATTATGAGACAAAAAATATAAACCCAAACAGCTTATATTATGGGAGAGAGGGAGTATTATTTTTAAAAATATTACATAAGTTTTCTATATTCATAACTTTTATACAATATCTTGAAAATGTATGGTCACGTGGACCAGGTATCTAGTTACATTACCTTATTTGAGAATTAATGCGATGTACAAGGAGGTGATTTGTTTCAACGTGGCTCCATACATGTCAGTCTCCAAATTCAAGCGTGATTATCGCTTGCCAAACTAATTATCTGTTTATCAAAACTCAGTTTCGACGTTAAATACTGTATGTTTCATGACTCTTTCGATCTTATGTTAAACTCATAACCAATCTATCAGATTTTCAACTATGTTTTTGGCCAGACTCTGGATAGCCACCAGACTACAGATGATCTCTTTAACTGCAAGCGTGAGAGATGCCAATTCTATGTTTGGAGTTTGGAGTTTGGAGTTTGGACTTCCGACAAGAGTAATTAAGGTAGTGTGCAAGAGAACAATATTGTAATAAAATAAATAGATCGAGAGATTCCAAGATCGTTCGTTATCAGATGTGTAGCGTCTCGATTCTGGAGTAGTACACTACATTATAAAATTTATTAATTCATATAAAACAATCTGATCGCTGTATTGATGTGAAGGATTCACGAGATCCAAATTTGTATTTCAGATGCATTCATCAGTTAGTTATGGAAATGTAAAACACCTGGCTTCTTTTTGGAAACATACTCTGAATTTTGAAGTTCATTATAAAAGATAATAAACCAAAATATTATAGACCGGACAATAATAAAAACAAACTAATCTATCATGTTCAAGAAAAATCAACTTTTGCTGATATTGTTAAAAAGCAAATTATTAGCTTTCTACAGTAGTTTATACGTAAACAAAACAAAACTCTTAAAATGTTGAGCTAATTCACCGACGTTTTAAGAGTTCTTTTTGGTTGTAAATGCTAATTTTAGTTACTAAGAAATATTGTTGGTAATGGTAGATAAGAATTGCATTTCACTCTATGTTCTTGGGTTTTGACTAATCTATGTTCTTTTTTTTACGTTCTAATCAGTTTAACTTCGTATATATCCACCGACTAAAGAAACCAATATTTGTTCTATCTATTTTTCATTACTTCTGAGAATTTTATTTTAAAAGTGTCTAAACAGTTTTTCTGGTTGTACTTTGGACAATGACAAATTAATCTAGTAAAACCTGAATAAAATAAAAGAAATAATTATATATTGTCATATTGACAAGAAATGGATTTATGGGGGAAAGCATCAATGTGGTTCTCGAGGAGAAACGGCCTCACCCGACTAGTTCTCGATTAAAATAAGACAAATCTAAATTCCAGATCTCGATCACTTCCATTTCGTTTTTTATCTTGTGGATAATTAACCCTACCACTACTATATTGTCACGAAAATAACAATTTATGAGTGAATTAGTGTAACAGCCATAATTACGACCTTTTTTTTTTTGAACAGTAATTACGACCTAAAATAAAGAAACCCCACACATATTGTAAGGATATGAGCATTTCATAGATTAGATGGTTTAAAACAGAGGTGATTCACTTGGATTTTCTTGTGGATGATTTTATAGATCAAGAATCAAAATCTCAAAGAACCCAAGTTATTATGTATAAATCTTTGTTTTCTTGAAACCTTTACCTCAAAACGTTTTATATATGTTTCAAGAATTTATTGCTCTTCTGAGTTCTGACGTACAACATGGGTGATCTCTCTTTCTTCCACATACAATACGGCCGTTAAAATCAGTAGATGGCGTCGGTCTGACATATTTAATTCAGAAAAAGGGAATTATGTAATAAAGGAAGAAAGAGGAGAGGGGTGGGCCAATGGGCGTGAAGAAAAGTGGGCCTTGAACACGTGATAACGTTATGGCCCACATCACGTGTACTTTCGTGCCTTTGCCAATCTCTTCCTCCACTCTCGTGACTTCCTCTGCCGCTTCATTTTTTTGTTATTCTGCTCAACTTTTTTTTTTCTCTACTAAAATTTAGGGAAATAGCAGTAGATAACCATAAAAAAACTTAATATTAAAACAAAATAGCCATAAGAAGGTCATAGCTAGAATATAGTCCGTATTTTATGAAATATTACCGAAAAAGTCCTTTCAAAGAAAGAGAAACAGTTTCGTGATAGAGTTCAAAGTTTGGGTGAGACTGAAATCTTGAGGAAACAATAGAAAACTGAAACAATCGCGAATCTGAGAAAAAGAAAATATGAAATTCGGGTGACGATGTCGATGATTGATAGAAAGTGAGGAAAAAATTTCCAAGAAGGAGGATTGGTTTATGCGATGTGGTTCGCCTCTTCTAGTAGCAGAGTATGGAGCTTTCGGTGCCAAATCTTCAGTTAGCATTAGAAGCTTTCTTCTCCGGCCAATTGCATCTATGACTTTCTGGTTAAACAGTAAGTCTTTCATCCCTCTCAATTTCGCAACTAAGCCGCCAATCATTGCGATTATGATCTGTGAGATCTAATTTCTCGATCGATTTCGCGACGAAAATTGTGAAACCCATCATACTCGCGATGTAGACAACTCTTCAGAAAGCCACGGCTGCACACCACCATCTCGGAGATCGAATTGGTGGACCAAATGTCCAGATAGACGAAATTGGATCGAAAATTATATGGTGAGACATAGATTTTTTTTTTTTGGTAATGACGCAGCCACAAGGAAAATGTATTATCCAATCCCATCAAATCCCCCATAATCTTGTTTGGATGAATTGTTTTGCTGTGTATTATGATATTATATGATATTGAACGAGAGTATTCAAAAGCTCAACACTCTGCAACACGTCTACATTTTGGATCAAGCTCGTGCATCGGAGACAAAGATGCCAACATATTAAGCAAGAAAGATTCAACATTACTATACTATAAGAATTCACATTGTCAAGCTCTCGGTTATGCTTTTGTAATTGTAAGAGCATGTTCCATGTATTAACTATTGACTATTTTATTCCATTTTGAATTGTAAGATTTATCACTTTTATTCCATTTTGTGTTATGTGAAATACTAATCACTATGTATTTATCAGTTTGAGTTGAGTTGAATGTATTGTACATTTATTTGTTTGGGTTCACTAATGTTGATTAGGGTTTAGTTTTAACTATATTAATCCTTGAATACAAAACTCTAGACTTCAAACTGAATGTACTGTATATTTGTGGATGTAAATTATGCATCTCTGTTCATGTCGAGGTTGACAAAAAAAATTGGGGGTGAAGTTTTCTGCTCACGGACAAGGTTATGAAATATTTTCCAGTTTGTTAGTGGCTTAATTTTTAAAGTATAATAGCTATATTCTTAATTTCAAAGCCCAATATGGTTAGACAGCAAATTAACCCTAAAATTTATCATATTTTTTCTCCTTGGATTATTTTTTGTTCAAATTATCAAGGTTTTAATTAAAAGATATACCATTTGCTCACTAGGTTTAACCTTGGATTGATTTGAACAATCTGTAGCCAAAAAACACAAGCAAAACACAAACCCTTGAAGTATTCTTTTTAACCATGACAAATTCAATTTGTAGCAATGAAACTGAGTGGAACAATGAAGGAATTTTACATTTAAAGCCATGGGCCATTGAATTCATATTATACCAATAAAAATTACAAAAACTTTATAACTAGTGCTCTTGCCCTCTCTTGCTTTATCCCAAAATAAAACAGTTCCTCCACTCACAGACGACACTTCTTTCCTTAAGTATCTCAGCCAAGTGCCTCCTCCAACACACTCTTACTAGTGATAATTTTTGCTCAAGAATCACCAATTTACTAATGAGTCGGTACAGTTTTTTGTCCTTTTAAAT